GCTTAGATCAAGTTAATAATCCAATTAAATATGTGACATCAGTATTTTAACGTTTTCAGCAACGGATTTTGTAAGTTCTACCGCTGATGCGTCTGCAGCAAAGTATTTCCATCTTCTACAAGACAAGAATAAACGAAAACTCAATAAAAATTTATAAAAGTACAAAAATCTATTAAAAAATTAATAAAAATCTATAAAAATCTATTAAAATCTATTAAAATCTATTAAAAGCTATTAAAATCTATTAAAATCTATTAAAATCTATTAAAATCTATTAAAATCTATTAAAATCTATTAAAATCTATTAAAATCTATTAAAATCTATTAAAATCTATTAAAATCTATTAAAATCTATTAAAATCTATTAAAATCTATTAAAATCTATTAAAATCTATTAAAATCTATTAAAATCTATTAAAATCTATTAAAATCTATTAAAATCTATTAAAATCTATTAAAATCTATTAAAATCTATTAAAATCTATTAAAATCTATTAAAATCTATTAAAATCTATTAAAATCTATTAAAATCTATTAAAATCTATTAAAATCTATTAAAATCTATTAAAATCTATTAAAATCTATTAAAATCTATTAAAATCTATTAAAATCTATTAAAATCTATTAAAATCTATTAAAATCTATTAAAATCTATTAAAATCTATTAAAATCTATTAAAATCTATTAAAATCTATTAAAATCTATTAAAATCTATTAAAATCTATTAAAATCTATTAAAATCTATTAAAATCTATTAAAATCTATTAAAATCTATTAAAATCTATTAAAATCTATTAAAATCTATTAAAATCTATTAAAATCTATTAAAATCTATTAAAATCTATTAAAATCTATTAAAATCTATTAAAATCTATTAAAATCTATTAAAATCTAATAAAATCTATTAAAATCTATTAAAATCTATTAAAATCTATTAAAATCTATTAAAATCTATTAAAATCTATTAAAATCTATTAAAATCTATTAAAATCTATTAAAATCTATTAAAACCTATTAAAATCTATTAAAATCTATTAAAATCTATTAAAATCTATTAAAATCTATTAAAATCTATTAAAATCTATTAAAATCTATTAAAATCTATTAAAATCTATTAAAATCTATTAAAATCTATTAAAATCTATTAAAATCTATTAAAATCTATTAAAATCTATTAAAATCTATTAAAATCTATTAAAATCTATTAAAATCTATTAAAATCTATTAAAATCTATTAAAATCTATTAAAATCTATTAAAATCTATTAAAATCTATTAAAATCTATTAAAATCTATTAAAATCTATTAAAATCTATTAAAATCTATTAAAATCTATTAAAATCTATTAAAATCTATTAAAATCTATTAAAATCTATTAAAATCTATTAAAATCTATTAAAATCTATTAAAATCTATTAAAATCTATTAAAATCTATTAAAATCTATTAAAATCTATTAAAATCTATTAAAATCTATTAAAATCTATTAAAATCTATTAAAATCTATTAAAATCTATTAAAATCTATTAAAATCTATTAAAATCTATTAAAATCTATTAAAATCTATTAAAATCTATTAAAATCTATTAAAATCTATTAAAATCTATTAAAATCTAATAAAATCTATTAAAATCTATTAAAATCTATTAAAATCTATTAAAATCTATTAAAATCTATTAAAATCTATTAAAATCTATTAAAATCTATTAAAATCTATTAAAATCTATTAAAATCTATTAAAATCTATTAAAATCTATTAAAATCTATTAAAATCTATTAAAATCTATTAAAATCTATTAAAATCTATTAAAATCTATTAAAATCTATTAAAATCTATTAAAATCTATTAAAATCTATTAAAATCTATTAAAATCTATTAAAATCTATTAAAATCTATTAAAATCTATTAAAATCTATTAAAATCTATTAAAATCTATTAAAATCTATTAAAATCTATTGAAATCTATTAAAATCTATTAAAATCTATTAAAATCTATTAAAATCTATTAAAAATCTATTAAAATCTATTAAAATCTATTAAGATCTATTAAAATCTATTAAAACCTATTAAAATCTATTAAAATCTATTAAAATCTATTAAAATCTATTAAAATCTATTAAAATCTATTAAAATCTATTAAAATCTAATAAATATAAAAATATTTAAAAATCTATAAAAGTCTACAAAAATATAAATTTATAGCTCACCTACTATGAGATAGGTTGTGTTTAATTCCTGTTCTAACTAGTATTAAATAATGCTGTAAAACCAAGTACTTATTTCCCTAAAATTACTTGACATCTTGAGACTGGGAGGTAAGTATTCTCTATTTCACTAGAACTACACCGCTAGAAAATAGTCCAGATAATGGATGGTTCAGTGCCGGAGTTGCCTAACAAACAATTTATAGAATAGAAGTGCAGTGCTTATATAAAACAAGAGGGATATAAAAGAGTAAACTATTTTAACCAAAACCAAAGTAAAGTTGCAAACATAAAAAACATTTGTATTTAATGTTTATTAACAAAATTATAACAAAATGAAAACAAAATTATAACAAAATTATAACAAAATTATAACAAAATTATAACAAAATTATAACAAAATTATAACAAAATTATAACAAAATTATAACAAAATTATAACAAAATTATAACAAAATTATAACAAAATTATAACAAAATTATAACAAAATTATAACAAAATTATAACAAAATTATAACAAAATTATAACAAAATTATAACAAAATTATAACAAAATTATAACAAAATTATAACAAAATTATAACAAAATTATAACAAAATTATAACAAAATTATAACAACATTTTCACAATAACCTTAAAGACTGTGATCTCTGAAAAATCAATCAGTCAATAAATTCGTAGTATATACAACACTAAAACCTTTTTGTTTTAGGTTTTCAAGGAAGTCATCACTGTCCCAAATGTAAAAAGGAATACAAGTATATAAGAAGCTTACAACGCCATCTACGTTACGAATGTGGCGTTGAAAAATCTCTCCAGTGCCCGATTTGCCAGAAGAGGTTCAGATATAACACTTATTTCCGCCATCACATGTCTAAAATTCACTATCAAACTGTTAACCAAGAACAACATTTAGGACTTGCTAATTTTGATGTAGATCATTTGACTCAACTCGGAGATAATTTCGAAAATAGTTATTTCATGCAGAATTGATAAGGATATTTTCTATTTCAACTGTCAGTATAATTTTAATTTAGTCCATTAGACTCTAAAATTTATGTACAAAATCCCAACATATAGTTAACTAAAAGAATAGAGACATCTAGAAACTTTTAAACGCTCTGAAGGACTACTTTATATTCCTCTAGAAGATGCAGAATGGGCCTGATGAAGCCTAAATGCAGTGAAACAGTTCATCTTACAACGAATTTCCGTATCTAGAAGATATTCGTTAAGACTAAAGACGTTACCAAAATATAATTTATTTTTAGCCGCACGGAACATTTGGAAGGATTTTGTATGTAATACAGATCTTTTAGAAACATTCTGTATATTGGGTTCACTGAATTTTGTAGTGCTGTGAAGTTGCTTTAGGTACAATGTCATTAGCACCCTACAGAAGTCAATGTTAATTGTACAATTATGGAGTATTTAATATTTATTGTTACTATGTTTTTTTTTACACAAAAATTTATATTTTCTCAATACAAATTATCCACAAGCTGTTTTTTTTTCTATTTTAAATTTTCCCGTTCTATTGCTGTATGCTAGCTCTTTGTTCACTTGGATTCTAATATTTATATTATTATTATTATTATTATTATCATCAGCTTCTCTATATTTAATAGTTTTGCAAAATCCAAAAAAAAAAACAAGAAAATGTTTCAATAGTATGTCGCGTAATAAGTGTTGTAAAAAGCATATACGTGTGAATACTTGTATAATACTCCAAATCTTAAATGGGTAGATATTATTATTAAATCACTAGGTGAAGTGACAATTGCCGATCATTGTTATTGTTTCAAGAGTTCATCAGGACACTCACCTAAGGCCACTTTTTACGTACTTTTTTTTAGTGATATTTTACAAAACTTGACGAATCCTTTACACGTATGATACTCGTATGCAGATGCTTTAAAATCGTTTTTAAATAAATAACCAACGAAGAAATGAAATTCTTTCAATCTAATCTTGATTTGATATCTCAATGGTGCCTTGTTTTTCGCAAAATACAATTTCAAATATGTATTAAGTCGACGACTGAGTCTCGTAGCGTGAACACGTATCGATATCCGAAGCGCTAGGGAAGATCGGTATTTCGAGAAACTCGTTAATTAATAGACAATTAATTAATAAATATCTAGTTATGTTATCTTATCAGCCGGCAAAAAACTTTAAAAAGTAAAAAGTGACAAAAACTAATAGTGATAAGTGAAATAAATAATACAAATATGTTCCCTTCGAGGAATTTAATAGGATTTGATAAGAATGGCCAGCCGATTTAGCAACATATGAATACTATACAGGGTGTCCCAATAATAAATAACCAACAGCAAACCTACCAGAACAAACTAAATCAAACAGCAAGTACCATTAATGTATTTCAACCAAATACCATCAAACCACACGCAAATAAATCAAATGCCAGGCCCAAATCAAATGTTCATTCCAACCCAAATGCCTTTACCAAACCTAACAAAAATCCTTAACCAAATGATTGCATAAAACCCCAATCACAATATACAACGTTCCCAAACCCTCACTGCCCACTTTCAGATAGTGATAGCCATATGGAACTTAACAACGAATCAGAGAGCCAAAATAAACACCCGTGGCAAGTAATTCGCAAGAGGAAAAGAATGAATCGTTAAACAATTCCTGAAGTCCCCACCCAAATTGAAACACAGAACAGATTTGAATTCCTCCCGATAAACACAGAAAATTTATCAAACACACAAAACAAAAATATCACTAAAAAAGATCCTACACCTCCACCAATCTATATTTATGGAGTTACTGGCTACTGTGCCATGATAGCAAATCTTACAGCTGCAACTGCAGCAGAAACCTATTACACCAAAACACTCTCAAATAATACAGTAAAAATAAATCCTACAAATCCAGACACCTACCGAAAACTAATTCATCACCTTAGAAATGAAAACATTGTACACCACACCTACCAACCCAAAGAAGAGAGGGCTTATAAAATTGTCATAAGAGGATTACAACATTCAATACCAACCGAAGATATCTCGAACGAACCAAACAATAAGGGTTTTAAAGTTCGCAATATAATTAATGTCAGACACAGAGTTAGAAAAGAACCGCTACCACTATTCTCTGTAGATATAGAACCAGATGAAAACAAAAAAGACATATTTAACCTAGAAGACCTACAACACTGAAAACCACCAAGAATAAAAAATACAATAGTTCAATGCACTAGATGCCAAAAATACGGGCACTCAAAATCTTACTGCACGAGGCCATTCTCTTGTGTTAAATGAGGAGAAGCACATGACATAAAATCCTCTAAAAAATCACACGACACACCTGCAACATGTGCCTTATGCTAAGGCAACCATCCAGCTAACTATAAAGGGTATGTTATATATAAAGATCTAATAAACTCAAAAAACAAGAATATAACAAAGAGCATTCACAGACCTAGAACTAACACTTCAAATAACCCTAATGTCCAAACACAGCAACCACACACAACATATGCTGATGCAGCAGCAGCAGCAGCAGCAGCAGCAAATAACTCAAACATTTCACCAAACACTCTCCCTCAAGCGAACAATAATTCAGACCTGTCAAACAAACTAACAGAATTTCTCAACGGATTTAAAAATATGTTTGCACAATTAATAAATCAAAATAGCATGGTCTTAAGCATGCTCACAACCGTGATAAATAAAACATCCTAATGGCTAACTCACTAAGAATAGCCGAATGGAACACAAATGGTTTAAGAAACAATGTGCACGAAATCACACTATTTTTAAAACTAAACAAAATAGACATCCTACTCATCTCTGAGAGTCACACAACCGAGAGGTCTTTCATTAAAATCCCGTATTACTCTGTTTACTACGCTAACCATCGGGATGGAACAGCCCATGCTGGCTCAGCTATAATAATTCGAACAGCTATAAAACACTATGAACTTCCACAATATATTTCCAACAAAATTCAGAGCACTATCATAAAAGTGAATGTGCTTACTAGCCCATTAACAATAGCTTTAATCTACAGCCCGCCACGCCACTCCATCAATCTTGAGGAATACAGAGAGTTCTTTGGACAACTTGGATCTCATTTCCTAGTAGCAGGCGACTGGAACGCCAAACACACAACCTGGGGAGCAAGACTCATAATCCCAAAAGGCAAAACTCTACTAAAAATCATTCAAGAAAACAACCACAAATACCTATTAACAGGTACCCCCACATAGTGGCCTACCGATAACAATAAAATTCATGACTTACTAGACTTCGCTATAACTAAAGGTATATCTTAAATACACAGCAACATCACCCCCAGTTTCGATTTAAACTCTGATCACAGTCCTATCATAATAACCTTAAGTACTATTATTATAATTTGGTAAACAACTGCACCAAGGCTCTGTTCCAGAAACACAAATTGGAATCAGTTTCATGATAAAATCAATGAAAAAATATCTCTAGACATACGACTCAAAGACAAAAATGACATTAAAGAAGCTGTAAAATACCTAACAGAACAAATTCAAAGCGCCGCTTGTGAAGCTACTCCCGTGAATGAAAAACTAATTGAAGAAAGATGCAGTATACCTTACTACATTAGAACATTAGTGGAAGATAGAAGAAGAGCCCGTCGTAAATGGCAAACAACAAGAAATCCTTTAGATAAAACAAATCTAAACAGACTCATACGCAGACTTCGCTGTGCTATCCAAACTGTCAAAAACGAATCGTTTGAAACATATGTTACCAACCTATCTCTTGACGACCACTCCCTTTGGAAAGCCACAAAAAATTCAAGAAACCAACAGCAGCCAAATCTCCAATTAAAAAAATCGACGGAACTTGGACTAGGTCTGTTCCAGAAAAATCCAATAGATTCGCAGAATATTTATCAACTGTTTTATCCGCCCCACAACCTAACGATATCAATGACGATGAAATTAGAGCCTTCCTCAATGCCCCCTGTCAGTTGTCACTACCACTGAAATACTTCTCACCGAGTGAAGTCCGCAATGAAATCAGACTTCTCAACCCACACAAAGCTCCCGAATTTGACCTTATAACTGGCGATATCTTAAAAAAATCTTCCAAGAAAAGGTATCGTCCTAATAACTATAATTTTCAATAGCCTCCTTAGGTTATGCTATTTTCTAGTGGAATGGAAGTACGCACAAATTATAATGATACCTAAACCTGGTAAATCTCCAACTGAAGCTAGTTCGTACCGACCAATAAGTCTCCTTCCGACTTTATCAGAAGTCTTTGAAAGGCTTATTCTTAACAGAATAGAAACAACAATACCTCTAGAAAATCTGATCCCAGATCATCAGTTTGGCTTTCTCTCAAGTCACTCAACCATACAACAGTGCCACAGGTTAGTCAACAGAATAAAAGAGAGCTTAGAAGAAAAAAACGAATCTGTATATCAGCATTCCTTGATATACAACAAGCATTCGATAAAGTGTGGCATGAGGGTTTCCTCGTTAAAATTAAAACCCATCTACCCGACCAATCAGATAAGATGCTTTTTACTATTAAATGTACAATTTAAATTATTAGTGAATAGCTTCACAGAGACTAAAATTAATATGAAAAGGAAAAATCTTATTTAACATAATTAAAAATAGTAAAGCATATTATCTATTTCCTAACAAAATAATATATAAAATTATATAAAACATGTGATTTCTTGTGTCATTCAAGGTGTTGAGGTTATGTTTCCAATTTGACATTTTAATAAAGAAATTCTTGTACTAAATATATATTTTCAACAAAATATCGGTAGGAAACTTACCTTTTTAAAATCAGACGGCCATTAAAAATATTAAAGACAATTAGTACATCGGATGTCCAAGATAAAAGTTAAATAAAATTCAATAATCAACTTGCTCATTGACAGCTATAAATCGAAATGAATTGCCAACTGTTGACCCAAGGCATAAACGACAAATGTCATTAGGGTAGAGATGTTTGCGTCAAAATAACGAAAACGGTTCCAACCGTTTCAATGTTTGGGTCTAAATAACGAAAACGGTTTTAACCGTTACAAAGTTAAAAATATGAGCTGGTTAATCAACAGAATATCGAAACTTTCATTAGAAAACAAAATGGTCATCTATAAAGCAATACCCAAACCAGTCTTGACATACGGAATCGAGCTGCGGGGCTGCAGCAAACCATCTAACACTAAAATACTACAGACGTTCCAGTCCAAGATTATTCGAATGTTAGCTAACGCCCCATGGTACGTTTCCAACCAAACCCTTCATGCAGATCTCAACATTCCATTCATAGATGATGTGATTACCCACCACTCCAGAAAATATATGAATCGCAGTGAAAACCATCCAAACCACCTCATAGTCGAACTCTTTAACCCTCCACTCATCGATAGACGCTTAAAAGGACTTTGGCCAAAAGACCTAGCTGCTAGGTGAATTCCAGAGAGTTGTCAGTGGACGACACCTGCCTCAAGCCACCCACTTCCATCAAATTTACTTATTACTTTATTGAAGTAGATTGTAAATTAGCATTAAATAAAATAATAAAAAAAAAATGTATTAGTCGTTCTGTTGTCTTGTGGTCCTGTACTTTGGAAATGCATATTAGGTTCTCAACTATGAAATCTTTGATAACCTAAAAATATTACCGAATATGAAAATTTATCATTTATTGGTGCGTTAATGTTGTCCAGGGATTTATGTGTTTCTGTTTGATTAGAAAACTGTATTGTATGTATTATATTATACCTAACAACAAAGCGGTCAATAAAATTGTCAGGTCGGAGTACCAAAGCCTACTTTGGATAGTGATCGTAGAAAAAATGTAGTGTTCTTAAATTATGCTTAATGAAGGAAATACTTAAAAGGGTAATAAGGAGGTCCATTAAATATAATTTTAAAAGGTGTATATTTTGGTTGGTATTTTTTTATAGGTATAACTAAACATTTATCTAGGTACTGGAAAACAAATTAACACTGTACAGGGCGTGGTGTAAAGGTTCTATTGTACATTCTACATATCTAAAGGTGGCTTTATGGTACGGTAAAAAGGTGTCGCATGTTAGAATACAAAATACATCTTGTTTATCGTTGGTTAATTTCAGGAAGACGTCAAAGATGGCCGTCGCACTTGGTTCTTCCAATGATGATCCTCAAGGAAAACCTAGCATCAGGCGTTAAGGAACCCAAAATGGAACCCACAGACACTCATTTCGGATTTTCCGAAGAAAAGAATTACGCTTGTGGCGAATGCGGCAAAACGTATAAAGTAAAGAGTTCTTTAAGCAACCATAAGAAATGGGAGTGCGGGAAAGAACCCAGGTTCAGGTGCCCGTATTGCGATTACAAGGCCAAACAGAAAGTTCATTTGGTTCGACATTTGAGAAAGTTGCATAAGGTTTATAATATCGACGAGCTGAACAGTAAGATTTACAATATTCCTGCTGGGGTGGATGATGGAGCTGAAGAATCATGTAGTTCGGTTAAAAACGAACCTGTTGACGTTTGAAAACAATTTTAAGTTGAATTATCTTGATAAGAAGTAGTCCTATTTTTTATAGAAATCTACAATATGTACTTCTATCAACAGTGGGAAAGTATTTTTGTTACGAACAAAGTATTACTGGATATGATACAAAGGGATAGAACTATTCTAATGTCCTTTTTATTGTTAACTTGATCTTGAAAGAGAATCGACAAAAGTTCCTTACAAATTTTGGGTATTTTCTAGTTTTGACAACTGCAATTGATACGTAGTTCTATAAAATGAGGTATTGCCAATGTTTTCATAGTAAGAATAAATCACATCCGAGCACATACTTTGATTTTCTTTAACTATACGGAGAATGGTCGCACTGCACAGTGCCTTTTAAAAGGAGATAGAAAACTCCTCCATTTTGATTCCTTATTACGTGTTGCCTACATCTTGGCGCAATATTTTTAATAGGTGCGTTTTAATCATCCGCTTCTGCTTCGGAATTGTCGGTTTTCTTGTTTTAATCTGACAGGTTAAAACGACTAAACCGACAATTCCGAAAGCAGAAGCGGATGATTAAAACGCACCTGATATTTTGCTTGCTGCTGTACGTGTCAGTGAATATTATTTTTGGAGTCACATTTTATTGCTAAAGAATCAGTTAGCTCACTCGGACCAGTTGAAAGTTCCAAAATAACATCCACTCCAGGGATACAAATTCAGGATACGCAGAAGACTGCTGTTTTATTATAGGCGGTTGTCATATATTGTATTATCCGAGTTGCGCAGTGAATAAACTGGAACATTGAGATTAAAAGTGCCGACGCAGAGTGAGCGATCTGATTCTTTAGCTATAAACTGTGGCATAGGAATCAAAATGGCCGCGCCCTATGTTTTGCGTGTCGGACCTCTCTCTTGCAGCGTATAGTAATCAAAGTATGTGCATCCGAGTCATAGTTTTGTGAAAGGATTTCGACTGCTATAGTCTGATTACAATAAGAACATAATGTCATCCAGTGGCGGCTCGTGGGGGTTCACAGTGACAGAATATAGGTATGAAAAAACTTTCAGTGTTTTAGAAAGTTTATAATATCCCTTTCTAAAACACTGACAGTTTTTTATCTATATCTGTACCGGGATCTATATTCTGCTACTGTGAACCCCCAAAATTTTGGTCACGAGCCGCCCCTGATGTCATCACTTGACGGAGTCACTCATTGGCGATCACCGCCTACTGGGTTTAATGACGTGTTGTTAGAGTATTGTAAGAATGAAGGAGTTATTTTTTTATTGGTTATGGATATTTGTTTTAAGTTTAATGTAAGGGTTATGACGTAACGGTTTTTTTTAATGTAATCGGACTCTAGTAATATTTGTACAAAATATAACAAATCTAAATCCCTCTGAATGTTCTTTATAGACGTTCCAGTAACATTATTTCAACGGATCCTCTTAAACGTTTTTAGCGAAATTTTGATTTTTTCAGGGCTGTGTCAAAATCTTTTTAAACTGTTTTGATATACAGGATGTAGCAAAAAAGTAGGCCAATTCGTTAACTATAGGTTTCTTAGCTCAGTAAAGAAACCTTTATTATTATTGTGACTTGAAACTAGCGCCCCCCATGAGGTAGGCGTTTAGGCTTCATCCAAAAAATATAATGGAAAAAGTATTTTTTTAAATTAATTTTGCCACCCTGTAGATTGAAAATGATGATAAGGAATCTATGGTTAACGGATTTGCCTACTTTTTTGGGACACCCTGTATATAGAGACTCAATTGAAAATGCGCATACTTTAGAGGTAGATAGAAGAGAAAGAAAGAGGTGGTTCGAAATGAGTCGATTCTTTACAACCAAGACACAGGGTGATTTATCCATTTTCTCACATCTTCATTACTTATTCACAACTTACGTACCACACTGTATGTTTTTTTCATATTCATAATGTATACATGGTATTGTATGTTTACTTAAAGGCTTTTTTAATTTGAAATAAAACTATTGATAATAAATAAAAATAGTATAGGTAGCCATAATTTTTATAAAGTAAATTTCATAATTATATTTGTAACGTGATATCTAGTTATTCTATCTAGTTGTTATATGTGTTTGAACTCAATTTATAGGTTGAAAAAGAAGTTGGGCACCACTATATTTAAAGCTTACTACACTTGACTCTAGATTAGTGATAAAAATATAGAAAATCAGTAACCACTAACAAATAATACTTAAACCATTCTTTAGATAAGGTAGTTATCAAATTCTAATTCACATAAGTTGTACTAAATTCAAATTTAAAACGATTTATTGAGTATGCACTTATCTTTTGGTAAGTTAGGTAATATACGGAATGTAAATCTAGGTTATATCATGGTATTTCGTCAGGCAACTTCCACAAGGAATTCGGGATCCTTATTCGTAATTCTGCACTGTGAATGATCTTCAAGATATATGGTATTCAAACTCAACCGACTTGTCTAGAAATGAGATCAAAACCATCTAGATATAGCCATAACAGACTAAAATTAATATGAAAAGGAAAAATCTTAATAAATATATTTATGTATAGTAAAGCATAATATCTTATTCCAAAAAAATAATATATAATTTTATATAAAACCAACATGTGTCTTTCATTGTTGATATTGAGGTTATGTTTAAAATTTGACAATTTATTTAAGAAATCCTTGCACAAAATATATATATTTAGAGATAAATTAAAATAAATGTGATCTATTTGATCTATTCAAATGAAATGAAAATGAAAAGTTTTGACACAAGGCATAAACGACAAGTGACATTTGAGTAAGAGTTGATTGTGTCGAAATAACGAAATAACGGTTCCAACCGTTACATATTATACTGTAATAAAATCAGTGATCTTTTTGTTCAGTACGCGTTATTTTACGTTCTTAGTCGTAGAAAAAATTATTTATTATATGAATCATAATGATGTCAATCAACAAAAAAATAAAAAATCAGCAAGATTTTCTTCTGTATTTACAAAAAAGAATCAAAAATTTTAATAACATGTAACCATGTACCATGTAAAATCAATTTAATTTTTAATATTAAAAATAAATAGTTAAATGCGTCGATAGATCCGAGACTACCGTACTTACTTGGTATTCGAAAGGTCTGGGTTCAAATTTGATTAAAGACTAATTGAGTAAAATATTTTTTTTAGGTTTGTTTAATTTTATAAATTAGCAACAGAAAATTATTTTTAAATTAAAATTTGTTGATTTTCGTTAGTGGGTCGTAGAAAAAATATAGTATTCGCTAAAGTGGATTGTGCATACCGCATTCAGACGATTGGGAACTTCGTCTACGTGTCGTGCTCAAACTTCTTGCGATATGGCCATCAGTTTTAAGTAACTTTTAAAAAAATATGCAGAAATAAGCAAAATGGACGTCTTTTTTCATAAATAATCAGAGATTCATTAGATATAGGTTATTTAGAACACCATTGGGATATCCTCTATCTACCCCTAACGTATGCGCAATGAATTAGTATTTACATAACCAATACTACAGATGTTGGAGGGACAATGTTTAGTACTATGAATCATAATTCTTAAAAGACATATATTAGTGTTTATTTTCTATTATCTACAGGATGTCCCAGAAATTAATTCCTATAAATTAGTCACTATTTTAATTGAAAGCAGACATTTTAAACTTAATTAAATAAGAGTTCTGCAACTTAAGAAGAATAGGTAGAAGTGTTTTAAAAGAAACAATAATATATTATATATTTATTTTTTAGTTTCTTTAATAATTTATATAGGTAATTAAAAACCTTAATATATCTTTTGTAATAATAAAATTTTGGTACGAATTCTTGGGACAACCTGTATCTATTATTTATATTATTTGTTTATCGTTGGGTATGGTCAATAAAAATATTTTTTATTTTGTTATTAAGAAAATTATTTTAATCCTTAGTATTTTTTGGGTCCAAATAGCTATAGTTACTGTACAACTATATAGGGTGATTTATTAATAGTGGCGACCGGCCATATACAGTTGGAATCATAAGGAAAACTTTTTTATTATTAATTTTAGGAAAAAAAGTTATTCTTCACAAAAAGTTCTGCATTATCTAAAACCTAGAATACAGTCATCAAATATCAAATTTTTTCAGTGGTATACGAGGTTTGTCAAAAAATGAGTTTTACTCAAGAGTAAAGTACCTTTATTCTTTATACGACTGATAAAATTTGATATCTGATGATTGTATTTTAGGTTTTAGACCATGCTCGACTTTTTATAAAGAATAACTTTTTTTCCTAAAATTAGTAATAAAAAAGCTTTCCTATGCCACCAGCTGTCTACGTAAATTGGCGGCATATCAAAATCTTTTTTATTATTAATATTGGGAAAAAAGTTATTCTTTATAAAAAATCGAGCATGGTCTAGAACCTAAAATACAATCATTAGATATCAAATTTTATCGGTCGTATAAAGAATAAAGGTACTTTACTCTTGAGTATAACTCATATTTTTTGACAAACCTCGTATACCACTGAAAAAATTTGATATTTGATGACTGCATTCTAGATTTTAGATAATACAGAACTTTTTATGAAGAATAGCTTTTTTTCCTAAAATTAATAATAAAATAGTTTTCCATATGATTTTGTATAATCATTCCTTTATAATTTTTTAAAAAATATATATTAATAGTGCTAAGAATAATTGACAATTAATTTTTTTAAGTAATGCTCTTTTCATTTAACCTATGCTTGTAAAAACTGTTACGGCGTCTCGAATTTATAGTAATTTTTTGTAAGAATACCATCGTTTTTGAATCACCCTATATAGTAATACATTGTACCTATAAACATATCTATTATTATGCTGCCTTATAGGTATTTGCTAGAAAATATATTATTTTATTTTTCATATTGTTAAGTTTAAATATATTATTTTTACAAATTTGGTTTTTAATCATATCCATCCTATACATTTCTACCATAAGCCTTACCCTTAAAAAAATAGAGGGGTAGCTACCTCCTAAGGTGGTAGACGT